GAATAGAATAGAATAGAATAGAATAGAATAGAATAGAATAGAATAGACTCCTTTATTGGCCAAGTGTGATTGGACACACAAGGAATTTGTCTTGGTGCAAATGCTCTCAGTGTACATAAAAGATACATTCGTCAAGAGTCAAGAATCATAAGGTACAACACTTAATGATAGTCATAGGATATAATAAGCAATCAAATCATACTAGGAAACAGTCAATATAAATCGTAAGGATACAAGAGACAAAGTTACAGTCATACAGTCACAAGTGGGAGGGGATGGGCGATAAGGAGTGATAAGATTAACAGTAATAGTGCAGACTTTGTAATAGTTGAACAGTGTTGAGGGAATTATTTGTTTAGCAGAGTGATGGCTTTCGGTGAAAAACTGCTCTTATGTCTAGTTCTTCTGGTGTGCAGTGCTCTATCGCATAATTTTGAGGGGTTGAAACAATTTATGTCTGGGATGTGAGGGGTCTGTAAATATTTTCACAGCCCTCTTTTTGACTCATGCAGTATACAGGTCCTCGATTGAAGGCAGGTTGGTAGTGATTGTTTTTTCTGCAGCCTAATTACTCTCTGAAGTCTGTGTCTGTCCTGTTGGGTTGCAGAACCAAACCAGACAATTATAGAGGTGCTGATGACAGACTGGATAATTCCTCTGTATAACTCTATCACCATTTTAATACCAGATAGTCCTTATTTAGCAAGCGTATCTGACCAGCACATCTGATATTAAGTAAAGGAGTTGCTAAAGTTGGAAATTAATATGACTGCAACTGCTTTCCTTTTCCCCATTCCTCCCCTATTTGGCTTAATTATCCCTGCACTAAAGAAGGGAATTCATATTTGCCTTTACATTAATTGGATAGGAAGTGATTACAAGCAGCCACACATATTGAAAGCAATACAGATGGCAGTCATGAACGTGCTTACACAGACAGCCCGGTTATTCCTCATTGTGTGCCCGCTTACTCTCTTGCAATCCCTTTCTTTGCAAGGCTGAAGTCTTTCAAGTTAAAGCAAGTTCTTAACCTTTGCAAGATGTAGGTCTCTGGAACGGGGAGAAGAGATGGAGTGAGTGAGGAAATCTGAGCGCTGCAGCGTAGAGCCAAGTGACATGTCGGTTTCCCCATCTGATTTCCATCTCTCTGCAGCCTGCCCTGGGGGTACCGAGAAGCCTTGCAGTGGATACGGGCAATGTGATGGTGAAGGAACACGTGGAGGCACCGGTCTTTGCATGTGTCAGACTGGCTACGGTGGTCCCTTTTGTTCAGAGTGTGGAGATGGCTACTATGAAGCTGCTCGCAATGACAGTCACCTGGTATGTGCGGGTACGTAGAGTGTTTGTGCTGGGCTGAGCTAGGTTGGGGGATTGTCATTTCTGTGATCTCTTCCCAAGGCAAGATTAATCATAGCTGTAGTTTTATGTGGCAGGTTGGCAACTGATTTACTTGCAACTGGTTTACTTCAGCCATGTACTGCTTTTTCTTCTCAAGCTTTCCACCTCACCTCCGTTGTAAACTGTGTTCCTTTTCACCCAATTCTCTCTCCCACCCAGAGTGCTACCGGGCCTGTGGGCGCTGTTCAGGCCCCGAGGATACCAGCTGTCTGCGCTGCAAGAGAGGCTGGATGCTGCACAACCAACGATGCATTGGTGAGCCTGTGGCCCTGAAATAGTTTGGAGTTGGCTTGGTGATGTTTGAAAAGGCAGAATTAATTAATCAATCAATCAATCTATTTTATTTTATTTTTGTCAATTGCTTACAAGATAATAGGTATAAGTATAAACATAGTTAGGAATACATGAAATGGATACATATAAGAAAAATAAAAAGAAACAATGGGACAGGGACGGTAGGCACATTGATGCGCTTATGCACGCCCCCTACAGGCCTCTTAGGAAAGGGATGAGGTCAATAGTAGACAGTCTAAGGTTAAAGTTTTAGGAGTTTGGGGAAGAAACCACAGAGTCAGGTAGAGTCTTCCAGACATTGTTGCTGAAGTCGTATTTCCTGCAATCAAATTTGGTGTGATTAACCTTAAGTTTGTATCTGTTGTGTGCTCTTGTGTTGTTATGGTTGAAGCTGAAGTATTCATTGACAGGTAAGTCATTGCAATGTATGATTTTATATTCCTTCAAAGACCTGCTTCTTCTGAATAGGGTACGGGTAGTCCTTGATTTAATGACCGGTAATGTCATAAGTGACCGTTCAAAATTACAACACACCCTCTAAAAGGTGTTTACAAGCCGGTTGCTCCCACCCCCTGCAGACACATGACTGAATTTTGGGCACTTAGCAACTGGCCGGCACTGATGGCTGTTTGCTGTGTTCTGCAGTCATGTGACCATGGTTTATGACATTTTTGCTGAAAATGTTTCATGGTGAACAAAGGGCACACTTAACAACTGTCCCACTTGCTTAATGACTGCTACAAAACAAAATGATCACAAAATTGAGTCAGATAACAGATAGTCAGAGTTGGACCAGACCTTGTAGGTCATCTAATCCAAGCCCCCGCCCAAGCAGGAGACCCTGCACCATTTCTGACAGATGGCAGTCCAATCTCTTCTTGAAAGTCTCAAGGGATGGCGCTCCCACAACTTCTGAGGGCAAAGCTGTTCCCTGGGTTGTTTGTTCTGGGAATTCTGGGAGTTGAAGTCCACAAGTCTTAAAGTTGCCAAGATTGGAGAACCCTGCTCTAGAGTCTTTTAGAGCGGGTGACTGTAATAAATGTAATAAATAATAGCAATAGCCACAACAGCAACACAGAAGCTCGAAGGAGAATGTAAAATGCCTCCGTGAGCATTGAGAGAGAAGGAAGGAGGGAGAGAAGGTATTCGCCGACCTCCTATCTTGAATCTCTCTTGTCTTTCTTACAGACATAGATGAATGTGGCACTGACATGGCACACTGTCGCAACAACCAGTTTTGTGTCAATACCGAAGGCTCCTATGAATGCCAAGGTAAGAGGTTGGAGCTTTCAAAATGGACCGTCTGTTGCTGTGCACCCCTGTGGGTCTCACTGAAACACGTTCAAGAAGCAGAGCTGCTTTCAGAGAAGTAGGTCTTCAGCAGAGGATCTGGTGATTCTGTTCCTATGGGTTGTGCAGCCCTTGGGAAGTTATGCTACGAGTTTATCAACCCTTGTTTGTCTGGTTTGGGGCATGAATCCCAATACAGTGGTGGGATTCAAAAGCGTGGCTTGGTGGGCGTGGTGTGGTTTGGTGGGCATGGCAGGGGAAGGATACTGCAAAATCCCCATTCCCTCCCCAGCCCACTAACCTGCTTTCCAGTTCCGTTCTCCTGTGCAGGGCAACCAAAGAAGATCCAGCTGATCAGCTGGGACTCGGGAGGCAGAGAATAGATGGGGTTGGCAGGGCCAGTCAGAGGTGGGATTTGCCGGTTCTCCAAACCACTCAAAATTTCCACTACCGGTTCTCCAGAACTGGTCAGAGCCCGCTGAAGACCACCTCTGCTAATATATGAAGTTCTTCAGGGAAGCAAAAATGGCATAATCTACCAGCTGAGAACATTATTTTTCCCATCTCCCATAAATAGACATTCTTACCTATTTAGCCAGGTAGGTAGTTTACACCTATAAGAATCACCTTTTTTTAAAAAAGCAGGAAATAGTGGATGCTTCACGCTAGGCTTACTGCGTTTATTTGTGCGTGTGTATGTGCCTTTGAGTTAGTTTCTGACTCTTGGCAATTGCCTGGACCAAACCCTGCGGGTTTTTTGGCGAGGTTTTTTTGGAAGGGATTTGCCCTTGCCTCTTCTTTCTTCCTGGGGCTGGGAGAGAAGGACTGGCCCAAGATCACCTAGCTCAGGGATGTCAAGTTCAAGGCTCGCGTGCCGGATCCGGCCCATGCGGTGCTTAAATCTGTCCCGCGGGGCCAGTCTAGAAACAGCAAAGGACTGGCCCACGGTGCTTCGGCCCAGCCTGGCCCGACCGGGCGCTGATCTACAACCTGATGGCGGCTGGCAGCGTGTGGGAGGAGGCCACGGCAGCCGAAAACGGAGCTCGGGAAGGCTGCCTGCACCTCTCCCGAGGTCTGCCATGGCCTCCTCCAGCACATGCTCCATATAGCACGTTCCTCTACAGGTGCTTCCAACACGAGTGACCTTGAGCTGGCCATGCCCACCCTGCCCAGGCCCACCCCAAGGTCAAACACAACCCTGATGCGGCCCTCAATGAAATCGAGTTTGACACCCCTGACCTAGCTGGCTTTGCATCCAAGGAGGGGCTAGAATTCACAATCTCCTGGTTTCTAACCGGATGCCTTAACTGCTACACCAAACTGGCTATGGTTTATACACAACCAATGTTCTAATATTCTTCCCTTACCTTTTCATTCAGCCAGCCACCCAGCTTTCCTTACCCCTATGGGGGTCAATGCCTAAGCCCATCTCTTCATTTCGCTCTCTTAATTTCTCTTCAGATTGTGCCAAAGCTTGTATTGGCTGCATGGGCGCTGGGCCTTCTCGCTGCAAGAAATGCAACAAGGGCTATCAGAGAGATGGTGTCAAATGCCTTGGTAAGTTCAACTGTCACCCCTTTCTGTGCTAGAGTTCTTATTGAGGAGTCCTTGGCGCTCTCTGAGTTTGGTTCTTTTCATGCAGATGTTTCATTAGCAATTGCAATAGCGCTTAAGATTTATATATCACTTCATAGTACTGTACAGCAGAATGTCTATGGAGATTCTCAGTCCTCCAGGCCATGGTTGTCCCAAAGGTGTTTTTTGCAAGAGGCAACTGGGCTTCCTGGTTTTTCTTTGAAAACATTTCTCTTCTCATCCAAGGAGCTTCTTCAGCTCTGACTGGATGGTGGGGTATGGGAGGATTCATACTCCTTGCAGACAGCTCATCATTTGCATTTTCCAGTCTACAACAAAGTCCTTTCAAGAGTTCCAAGAAGGCTCCATACCCATTTGCACTACTCAGGCAGCCATGACAACACAGTTAAACCTCCAGGTGGCCTCAAAAACTCACTAAAAGGATGCAAATGACCAGCTGTCTGCAAGGAGTGTAAATCCTTCCATTCCCCACCATCAGGGGTGGGATTCTGCCAGTTCACACCTATTTGCTAGAACCGGTTGTTAACATTCTAAGCAGTTCAGAGAACCAGTTGTTAGAAGAAATTACTAGCCTAATCCTATAAGGAAGGCAGGAAGGAAACATTCTGGTATTGCTTACAGAAACTGCCTCTCCGTTAACTCTTATTATATTCTTGGCAGGACGAGACTTCTTGTCTCAAGAACTTCTCTGGAGTTTTTTCCCCCTCCTTTGCTGGTACTTTGCTTGTGTGGAGTGACCATTCAAAGTTACAATGGCACTGAAAAAAGTGACTTATGACCCTTTTTCACACTTAGGACTGTTGCAGCATCCCCACAGTCATGAAAGGCCAGGCGTGCCTCGATGTGAGTGATATTGAGTTGGCGACACCCAGCCAGTAACATGACAAGCCATGTCCACCCAGTCACATGACCACCAAGCCATGCCCACCACCTAAGCCACGCCCACCCAGAACCCGTTGATAACAATTTTGAATCCCACCCCTGTCCACCATCCAGTCAGAGCCGAAGAAGCTTCTTGGATGAGAAGTGAAAGAAAGTCCAGTTAGCTCTTGAAAAAAAAA